TCTCCTCTCCTATTATTCTATTCCATTCCATTCCATTCCACTCCATTCCATATTCTATTCCATTCCATTCCATTCCATTCCATTCCATTCCATTCCATTCCATATTCTATTCTATTCTATTCTATTCTATTCTATTCTATTCTATTCTATTCTATTCCATTCCATTCCATTCCATTCCATTCCATTCCATTCCATTCCATATTCTATTTTATTCTATTCCATTCCGTTCCATTCCATTCTCCTATTCCATTCCATTCCATTCCATTCCATATTTTCTATTCTAATCTAATCTAGTCTAGTCTAATATAGTCTAGTCTATTCCATTCCATTCCATTCCATTCCTGTATCATTTCTTAAAAGCTGGGCTTTTTGAAAAGCAGGATTGGGTGAAGCTGGAAAGGAGACCAGCAGGAAATCATCTAACAGCTTCTAACGGGAGCCGTGAAATGCATCCCAAAAGGAGGTCAAAATTTCCGCACCACTGGCTGCCAAAAATAGCGTGAAGATGGAAGTCATCAGGTGCTCCGTCTGACTCAGGAAACCTGTGGCTTTCTTTCTTTTCTTTTTTTTAAAGAAAAAGCAGGAAATGCACAAAGAGTTGGACTCCTTGCGTATAATGACACCTGTTATCGAGATGTGCTTTTGATCGTTTTTCCCCCACCAGTGTCCATTTCCACATTTTCTAGGTGTTTTGTGTTTGTTTGTTTTTTTACAGTCACAAGTGTTTCTCAGTTCATCGGGACCGAAATCACCTTCCTTGCTGTCTTTCCTCCCAGATATTGTCAAACATAAAGTAAGGCATTCTCTTTAATTCATTCCTCTAATTGCTGCACGGGCCAATGGGTGTATTTGTGGCGTTTTGGGTGGTCTCTGAGATTGGTGGTTTGCTTGCAGATGTTTTATTATCAGACTGACAACACGGTTAGTGCTGGTAGGGGATGAGGGGTAGCAGAGTGGCGGAAAAGAGGAAGAGGAGGAGGAGGAGAAGGAAGGAGAAAGAAAGAGAGAGAGAGAGAGGAAGGAACGAAAGAAAAAGAAAGAAGAGGAAGGAAGAAGGAAAAAGGAGAAAGAAAGGAGGAGGAAGGAAAAAGGAAAAAAAGAAAAAAGAAGAAGATGAAGAAGGAAGAAGACGAAGACGGAAGAAGGAAGAGGAAGAAGAAGAGGACAAGGAAGAAGAAGGAAGAAGACGAAGATGGAAGAAGAAGGAAGAGGAAGAAGAAGAAGAGGACAAAGAAGGAAGAGGAAGAAGAAGAAGAAGAAGAAAAGAAGAAGAAGAAAAGAAGAAGCAGAAGAAGAGAAGAAGCAGAAGCAGCAGAAGAAGATGAAGAAGGAAGAAGAAGAAGGAAGAGGACAAAGAAGACAAAGAAGTGGACGAAGAAGGAAGAAGAAGAAAGAAGAAGAGAAGAAGAAGACGAAGAAAGAAGCAGAAGCAGAAGCAGAAGCAGAAGAAGCAGAAGCAGAAGAAGAAGAAGAAGAAGAAGAAGAAGAAGAAGAAGAAGAAGAAGAATCAGTACCGGAAAGTAGTGGCGTTTACATTAGCTCATCTTAAAACACGGCTCATCTCGAGAAAACCTGATTTAAGAGATTCAATCACGCTCCAGAGCGCCTTGATTTCATCCGTGAGCTCAAGATCCAGATTTCTAAGGAATGCCATCATCCATCAGTGGGGGTGGGGGGGTTATTCCTTCGTGCATCCCTTCCCTGCCAACAGGTATGGTCTTCTCACCCATCCAGTTTATTTGCCTCCATCCACTCTGAACTTCCTTCCCATCCGGGCACGTCGAGTGAGCCACCCAGCCTTACCCACCCCCCGAGGAAGTGGCATTGCTGGCTTCTTCACACCTGCCCCTTGGCAACCTTACCCCGCAGGTGCCAACGAGCGGCTGAATCCTCTGCCCGAGAAAGCTGGGTCAGAAGGTGAGTACACTTGGTTCCCGTCTTCGTGAAGAGGAGCAAAATTATTAATAGCTTCAAGGTGCAGGGCCTAGCTGTTCCCTTTCTCGCGCCCGACTGGAAAAACAGCTCTTTCACTTCCTGCAAAGCGGGGCACGGCCTCCGCGACATCCGTCGGCTGAGTATTTTGAGCCTCGCAGAAAAAGCAAGAAACAAAACAAAATAAGTTTCTTTCTTTTTCTCCATCAATGCACCCACGGCAGAAGGGGGGCAAAAATAAAATAAGAAATATTAAAATTTTTGATTATTTATTATTATAAAATATTAAAATATTTTAATAATATTAAAATATTAAAATTTAGGAGTGGATACATAACGCTTGCAAACAATTTCGAGCTTGCTTTGGCGAACCGTAAAAGCAAAGAGGTTGCAGCTTTGCTTGGAAAGGAACGTGCCGGAGCCCCCCAAAAGGTGAGTGGGTGCCCCCTTGGGAGGGGTAGTACTACAGGGTCAATGTGACACTCTCAAAATTCCACCAAAATTGTGTGAACCCTCTGGAGCGAGTCAATGCTGCTTATAAACGAACTCTTGCATTGAATTGTTCTTTGACTCAGAACTCTTCTTCGGATTTTATGGTGGGTCACAGTGGACCCGATCAAGTTATTAAAATTAACCCGGGTTTATGCAAAAGAAAACAATAACAAAACCCATCAGGCTGCAAATTATCCCAGTTCAGCCCCGCTTCATGTCACTCCAGCCTCCAAATAAACCCTAATTTGCTAACTTTTAAGGCAGATTTTTTTTTCCTAATCAAGATGCCTACCGGATCATTCTTTCTCTTCATTAGCAACTATGAAAACTGAAGTTCAATACAGGTAGTCCTCTACTTACAACGGTTCATTTAGTGACCGTTCCGAGTTACAACGGCAGCACTGAAAAAAGTGACTCGGGAAAGCTTTTCACACTTAACGACATCGTTGCAACATCCCCGTCGTCAGGTGATCAAAATTCAGACGCAAGGCAACTGGTTCGTATTTATGACGGTCGTAGCGTCCCTGGGGTCAAGTGATTCCCTTTTGCGACCTTTTGACAAGCACAATAGGGAAGCCAGATTCGCTTAACGACCGTTTTGTGATTTACTTAACCACCATGGCAGGAAAGGTCGTAAAATAGGGCCAAACTTAACGGTCTCACTTAGCGATGAAAATTTGGGGTTCCATTGTGGCCGTAAATTGAGGTCTACCTGTAGATCAGCTTAGAAACCTGGGAAAGGTAATCTTACAGTTAGTGGCCCAAATTGTGGAAACCTTTTTGGGAAAAGTGTACTTTCTTAAAACTAGCAAATAACACCACTTTTTGGGGGGAGTAGTGCCCTAAAATTATATATCAATGGAAAGATAATTTAATCAAGAATGTAATGCAATAACTTTTATGGGGGATTTGCTATTGGAATAGCAGTTACAGTATAAAGAAGAAAAGCGAAACACGTAGAAAAAACGATAATATAAAAATTATCAGATCAGTTAATACTTCGTTGGGTAACCTTTAGCAGGAATGACGGCCTTACGTCGTCTTCCCATGGAGTGAACCAAGTCTTTTTGAGTCTCTTTTCTATCATGTGAAACCAAGATTGAATGATGGCTTCTATTAACTGGGTTTTATTGCTGGGTCGCTTCTGACTAACCAGTTTCTTGAGTCAGCTCCATCAATTTTCAATTGGGTTAAGGTCTGGGCCATTCCAGCAGCGGAATAGAATTATCTTGACATTCCCCTCCAAAAAAGTGGTGTTATTAGCCATCAAACCTCAAAAATATACTTTTCCCAAACGTTTTCTACAATTTTGGCCACGACTGTATATTTTCAGATTTCCAGAAAGTGGGGGGAGATTTTTGCACAGCAGATATTCCAAGGCTGATAGATTTTTAACCAGCGGGGAGGTTGGAAAATTCTCCTCAAAAGCGATAGCAGCAACTTCCAAATTTGCTAAGAAAACCACCGGTCCGTCCTCAGCCAAAATTTGAATCTTTTGTAATGATTCCAAAATTTGAATCATGTTTTGCTGGTCTAGAACACAACAGGGTTGCAAAATCGCAGCATGATTCACGAGGTAGATGTCAAAAAGCTGTTTTTTAAAAAAAAGACTTTCTTGCACCTTAAACGAAAAGGTGCAATCCACGATTTGATTGGTTGGTTTGAGTTTTGCAACGCTCTCCTCCGCTAGCAATTTGCAAAAGCTGTTCACCAATTCTCTGCTCGCTCCATCAAAATCAGAGGTGGTCTTGAGCCGGTTCGCCCGAGCAAATCTTTTCCAGATTTAACATTGAAAGGTTCTACGGTTTGAGAATTGTGGTTTATCCAGCAAGCCACATTTAAACCAGTTGTTGGCATGTAATGCATTTCACTTATAAACAAATCTTGTTGGGGTTTTTTTTTCATAGGAGGAAGTAAGAAAGGGAGGTAAAGGGAGTGAAGGAAGGAAGGAAAGAAAAAGGAGGAAGGGGAAAGAAAAAAAAAGGTACGGAAGGAAAAAAACGGGAGGAGGAAGGGGAGAGAAATAAAGGTACAGGAGGGAGGGAGGGAGGAAGAATGGAGAAGGAAGGAAGGAAAAAGAAAATGGAAGGAGGAAGGAGAAAGGGAAGTAAAGATACAGGAAGGAGGAAGGAAAAATGAGAAAGGAAGGAAAGAAAATGGGACGAGAAGGGAAAGAGAAGTAAAGGTGCAGGAGGGAGGAATGAAGGAAGTAATGAAGGAAAAATGGAGATGGAAGAAAGGAAGAAGAGGCAAAGGAGGAAGGGAAGAAAAAGAAAGGGAGAAGGTGAGGAAGGGAGAATGGAAGGAAAGGAAGAAGGGAGAAAAAGGTAAAGGAAGAAGAGGAAGGAGAAAAAGGAAAGAGTGAAGGAAAAGCAAAGAGAGATGGGGAGAAGGAAGTTTTATTCTGTGACCGTTATAAAAACAAAAAACGTAAGGATGACCAAAAAGCACAAGAAATCCATTTTCGGCCCGGAGCGCTGTCCAACTCCCCTTCACCCAACCCCTCAAAAGTTGCGAGTCCCCCCCCAAAAAAGAAAGAAAAAATAACGCAAACCAGAAAAAGACGAGCCTTGGGGGGCCATTCTCCACACAGGACATTTATTTATTTGTAGGTTTTTATTTTTATCTCCAAATAATCAATTGTTATTGTTTTTTTTTTCTTTTCTTTTTCACAGCATCATCAAACCCCGGCTTGTATCCCAGATTGGATCTTATCCCCACATATATATATATATTTTCCCTGGGCAGTTTAAACTCAAGGAAAACTTCCCACACCTGTGTCTTGTCTCCCTTTGGGCTGGAATCCATTTTATTCCTCTTTAATTCTCTTTTTAATTCCTCTTTGGGCAAGTTTAACACGTCCACAGCGACCCCTGCTGGCCAACTGGGAGATGGGCAGCCCCTTCTCTTTCCCCCCCCCCCCCCCCCCCCCCCCCCCCCAAAAAAACCCTATATACCATTCTCTATTCCAATATTTTCTCAACCACTTAAAAAAAAGACGAGTGGGAACTTCAACTCCCAGAATTCTCTGCGGCCAGCTCTGCAAGATGGCGTTCGGGAACTCGCGGGCTGGGGAATTCTGGGAGTTGACGTTCCCACGGGTCTTAAAAAGTGACTTTTATCTATTACACTATCTATATACGAGGATCTCGGAAGCCCCTTTTTCAGATTAAATCGTTTTTTTGTTGTTGTTTTTTTTTTTTTAATTAAAAAGGCAGCTTCCAAGGTTTCTTTTTCAGCACAAAGGACGGCAACACCCCACAAAAGGTTGCGGGGTGTCGAAGGCGGCTCGCCCACACAAATCTTCAATGCATCACACAATTGCCGATTTGACTCACACAATCTCCAGCGTGCGTCGCTATAACCCACCTCCCCCCCCCCCCCCCCCCAATATCATTAACGCCCCTCCACAAAAAAAGAACTCCTTTAATCTGCCTTTGAATCAAAACGTTGGGTTTGAGAAGGGGCTCCGGGACCCTCCTACCATAGACGGCTCTTCTCCTAGAGCAGGAGTCGGCAACCCGCGGCTCGGGAGCCGCATGTGGCTCCTTCATCCCTCTCCTCGCTCAAAATATGTGTCACAACCGCCAATGCGCGACGCCCGCTGGCACGCGATTTATTGAGCTTTTCCGGTAGGTTTTGTGGCTCCCGGTGTTTTCTTTTCTGTGGGAAACGGATCCAAATGGCTCTGTGTTTAAGGTTGCCGACCCCTGTGCTAGACTATATATGGAAGACAATGCATCAAGGGGCCTCCCTGTTCTATCCCTGTGGCTCCATTTCTCAGGGTATTCCCCCCTCCCCAGATCGAAACCCCCACCCCCCCACTCCAGGCCATCTTGAGGAGGAGAGGATGGAAGTGAAGACCACGTGCTCAACCATCCAAGGTCTCCTCGCGCCGTCGTCCCTCCAAACTAGGGAACTTGGAGACTTTCCCAAACTTCTCACTTCTGCCCCGTTTCCTGATCTTTTTCCAGTCCATCTCCCCCCCTTACCTCCCACGCCCCCCAAAATCCATGTGGGTTTTTTCTTTTCTTCCCCTCCAGCAGGGCATCTGGACCGGAGGGTTCTCCTGCCAAGATCTCCCCCCCCCGCCATCCGTGCTTTGCCCCCCCTTCCAACTTTTTGCCGACGTCGTTTTTTTCTCTCTCTCTCTCTTCCTTCTTCCTCGTCGAAAAAAAAAAAGAAGATTTCCTTGTCCCCCCAGGGAGCAATTGTGTGACGGACAGGATACAGCTGTTTTCCTCCTCTTGGAGAAGGAAGGGGAGAGGAGAGGAAAGGCCGGGGGTGGGTGGGTGGGTGGGTGTACCCCCCAAAAAATACTTGTTAAAAAAACCTCACACATAGCCAACATTATAAACAGGCCCAGAAACATGGCAGTTTGTGCTGAAACGGGGGTGGGTCGGTTTGTGGTCACTCATCACGATTAATCACAACTACAACAGTTTGCAAAAGCTGAATTGTGGCCAGGCTTCGAGGACAGGGCCAACAAGGGGGGGTGGGGGGGGAAGAGAGAGGTTGCACAAAGAGGAGGAGGAGGAGGAGGGGGGTGTCTCTTTTATCCACAGCCATTCATACCCAGCTGTCTCCTTCTCCCTTTCCTGCTTTAAACCACCCCTTGGTTTAACCAGGCCCCGTGGCGGAAACAAGAAAGCGCCGACAAAAAAAAATATAAATTAATTTCTAACAATAAATTATAACTTCACCACAGGATTAGAAACACAGGACGGCCCTTGTTTCGTTCACAGGATCAGGTCAAGGAAGGGTCTAATCTTTACTCCCCGGGGAACAAGGCCTCTCCGCCTCGCCCCGGTTTACGACCATCAGATCTGCTGGTTTTTGGTTAAATTCCGCGGGGGGGGGGGGAATAACCTTTGCGTCTTTCGAAAAAGGAGACCAAGCTGGAAGTGGAGCCACCTCTCTTCCTCTTCCTCCTGCGTTGCTCTTTTTTACCGTAGTCGCACATACACACACCCAAGGCATGCACCCACAAGCACACACAACTCCTTAAAACAGGGTTAAGGTAGGCAGTGATCGCAAGAAAAACGAAAAACGCACAGGTCCTAAGAGGGGGAAACTCGCTTTTAGAGAAGAAGAGTGTGGAATGTCAAGAATCGCAACCGTGTTGCGTCGACGTTGTTCACAGCTAAAACAACAACAACAGTGGTTTCTACACACGGGAAGTAAATGGCAGTCAAGTCGCCCGTGGTTCGGAGGAAGCGGTGAGGGAGGAGAACGCCACGGGCCGGCGGGAGGATTCCCACCCGGGACCGACCCTCGGAAAGGAGGCGTATAACTCCTCCCACAACGCCAGGCGAGTTTCCCGCAGACACTTAAGGGAGAGAAAACTGGCAGTACGAGTCGAATAGGTTAATAAATAAAATAAGTTAAGAGGAGATCACCAGGTCCGGGGATGGGAGGAGAGGTGGCCAAGACACTGAGGACTAGCAGCATGGCCGAGAAGACTAAACGAGGGAACGACTCCGAATTCTCCCGGATCTTCCCAACGAGCCGGGATCATCAGATTCTAGATATTTGGGAGAAGAGAACGGAGGGGATACAATTCCAAGATCGGGCTTGATCCGTGTGGCAACTAGGAATTGCTCCGTCGGGGAAGGGGGGGGGAAATGAGGGTCGGGAGCCCACCGAATTGGGGAAAGGGGGGGGACCACGGAGGCGAGAATCGGGGCAGGCGGGCCTTGGTCCTTTGCGAAGGTTTGTCGTTAAAAATCAAGACACTGAAAAAAAACCACGGGGAGCGACACATAGAAAGTCTAGATAGAAATCTACAAACAGACAAAATATAATATAATATAATATATATATATATTTTATGTATATATATATGTATATATGTATATGTATAAATAACAAATCGGGCTATTTACAAGACACCCACACGCAACGCAACGCCACGCTCACACACACACGCAGGGAAGGGGGGGAGGGATGGGATGGGGGGGGGGGGGGGGGGGGGGGGGGGGGGGGGGTATGGAGGGGAAGTTGGCGCTGGAAGACTGGGCCCCGTGCGCCCCTCCCGGCCGCTGCTCCTGGTTGGGGAAACGTCTCGGAGAATTTCCACTAAGTACTGAAGTAAACTGCGGAGGAAGAAAACAAACAAACAAAAAAAGATATTTTACAGGGAGTCCTCGTTATATGACCGGCATGTTACAGTCATTAAATGGGTCATTCCTATGACCGGCTCCGTTTTGGGAACTGTTTATTTAAAGCAGTAGTCATTAAGTGAACCCATGGTAGGTGTGGTTTTACTGAGAGGTTGGAAGGGCTGTTTTTTCCACAAAACCGTCGTTAAATGGGACAATGCGGTCATATTGCCGGGTGTCCCAAGTTCGGCCGCGTGACCACAGAGGACGGGGAGGGAGGGGGTCGCAATGTCGGAACTGTAAAATCAGGGTTGGAAAAAACACCCATTTTAGGGTTGGTTGTAACGCCGAATGGTCCCACTTAGCGACCGGTCGTAAGTCGAGGAATACCTCGAAGGGTTCTGGGTAATTGGTATCTGACTGTGCTATGCAACCCAGTGTGCTAAGCTGTAGTTTGCTTGCGACACAACTGGCCTCATAAAACTTGCTACATCAAAACACTGAAAAGTGGTATTCAGCCGGTTCGTACCGGTTCGGCCGAACTGCTGGTAGGTCCACCCACCCATCCTGGACTAATGCCGTCCTATTTAGCCCCGTTTTCGAGGTCGGGCGCATGCGTGGACGGATCACACACAAAGTGTATGCACAGAAGGCTGGGTGCATGTACAGAAGGCGTGCGCCCAAAACGAGCGTGCACGTATGAGGTAAACCGGTGGTAAAAATATGTAAAACCCACCGCTGAAACCACCTCATAGGCAATCCTCGACATATGTCCACTCGCTTAATGACTACAACAGTGCTGGGGGGGGAAAAGGGAATTTCCACCGGTCCTCACATGTATGACTGACAGCGTCCTTGCCGTCACGTGATCAAAATTCAGGGATACATGGATCACATGCCACCTTCTCAGTAAGGGAATTCGCTTAAGGGCTAAGTCAGAAAAAGCTGTCAAATCAGAGGCAACTTATTGCACCACAGCATTGCTTAGCGACGGGTGCTCCAGTCCCAACTGTGGTTGTAAAACGAGGACTAAAGTTTATTTATTTATTTAAGTTTCTGCCCATCATAGTCGTATAGATTAAGATTGAGAAGATTATTCAGAAAAAATCTCAGGATGGCTGCAATGTTTTTTTTTTTCTAACCAGGATACAGGTAAGTCCTCAACTTACAACAGTTCATTTAGTGACGGTTCAAAGTTACAACAGCACTCAAAAAAGGGGACTTTTCACCATTTTTCACACTTAGGACCGTTGAGGCAATCCCCACGGTCATCTGAACAAGTGGCTCGTATTTATGACCGTTAAAGGGTTTATATGATCTCCTTTTGCGACTTTCTGACGAGCAAAGTCAATGAGGAACTCGGATTCGCTTAACGACCATATAATTCACTTAACAACTGCAGCGAAACAGGGCAAAACCTCACTCAACAACGGCCTCACTTAGCAACGGAAACGTTGGCGCCATTGCGATCGTAAATCGGGGGACTAACCGTACAGGTAGTCCTCGACTTATGACCCCAAGTTTCCGTTACTAAGCTGTTATTTGGCCGATTTCCAGCATATTTTATTTTGGCTGATTTCCAGCATATTCTCCTCCATACCTCCAGCTATTATTTGGCTGATTTCCAGCATATCTTATTTTGGCTGATTTCCAGCATATTCTCCTCCATACCTCCAGCTATTATTTGGCTGATTTCCAGCATATTTTATTTTGGCCGAGACTTCGCTCTTGAAAGATATATTTTATGTTATGTTTGAAAAAATAAAAAAAATATTTTATAAAAAAAGTTTCCGTTGCTAAGCGAGATGTTTGTGGAGTGAGTTTTTGTCCCGGTTTACGACCACTCTTGCCCACCACTGTTTTAAGCGAATCACCGCAGCCGATTAAGTTAGTCGCACCGTTGTTAAGTGAATCTGGCTACCCCCCCTCCCCGTTGACTTTGCTGGTCGGAAGGTCGCAAAAAGGATCACGTGACACACTGCAACCGTCGTAAATACGAGACGCCTGCCAAGGATCTGAATTTTGACGGTAGGGATCCTGCGAAAGTTTTTAAGTGTGAAAAAACATTTAAGTCGTAAGTCACTTTTTTTTTTAAAGCGCCGTTGTAACTCGGAGAGGTCACTTAACGAGGGATTGTAAGTCGAGGACTGCCTTCAAAAAGTCATTTTTATTAAAGTCCATACTGTGGGCAATCATTGGCGGTCTTAAGGATTGGCAAAAATGAAAAATGGAAAGGAGGAGCAAGACGAAAGAGTTGGCAATAAGTGGGACCAACCTATCAGCACCCAAACCCCAAATGAGACTCACTCTAAAGCAGAGGTGTCAAACTCAAGGGACCCCCCCCTTTTCCCGCGCCCCGTTTTGCTGGCAGAGGGCTATGAAAAGCCAAACAAAAGGAGAAATTCCCCTTTTGCATTTGAGCATCCAAGAAATGACGGGAAAGGAGAAAGGGAAAGACAAAGAAAAAGCAAGGAAGATGGCACGAGAGCAAGGAAGGAAGGAAGAAGAGAAGGAAGAAGAAAGGAGAATGAAGAGGGAAGGGGAAAAAAGAAAAGGAAGGAAGGGATTGAGGAGGGAGGGAGGGGTTAAGGAAGGGAGGGGCGGAAGAAGAAAGAAGGAAGGGATTGAGGAAGGAAGGAGGGAAGAATTGAAAGGAGGGAAGGTTTAAGGAAGAGAGGGAGGAAGAGAGGGAGGGAGGGAGGGTTTGAGGAAGGGAGGAGGGAAGAATTGAAAGGAGGGAAGGGTTAAGGAAGAGAGGGAGGGAGGGAGGGTTTGAGGAAAGGAGGAGGAATTGAGAAAGGGAGGGAGGGAGGGAGGGAGGGAGGAAGAAGGAAGGGATTGAGGAAGGAGGAAAGAAGGGAGGAAGGGATTGAGGAAGGAAGGAGGGAAGAATTGAAAGGAGGAAGGGTTAAGGAAGAGAGGGAGGGAGGGTTTGAGGAAAGGAGGAGGAATTGAGAAAGGGAGGGAGGGAGGGAGGGAGGAAGAAGGAAGGGATTGAGGAAGGAGGAAAGAAGGGAGGAAGGGATTGAGGAAGGAAGGAGGGAAGAATTGAAAGGAGGGAGGGGTTAAGGAAGAGATGGAGGAAGGAAGGGAGGGTTTGAGGAAGGAAGGAGGAATTGAGAAAGGGAGGGAGGAAGAAGGAAGGGATTGAGGAAGGAGGGGGGAAGGAAGGAAGGGATTGAGGAAGGTGGAAAGGGGAGGAAGGAAGGAATTGAGGAAGGAAGGAGGGAGGAAGAGATTGAGGAAGGAAGGAAGGGATTGAGGGAGGAATTGAAAGGAGGGAGGGAAGAGATTGAGGAAGGAAGGGAGGAAATGAGAAAGGGAGGGAGGGAGGAAGAAGGAAGGGAAGATTGAGAAAGGCGGAAGGAAGGAAGGAAAGGATTGAGAAGGGAGGAAGGAAGGAGGAAGAAGATTGAGGAAGGGAGGAATTGAGAAAGGAGAGGGAAGGAGGGATGAAGAAGGAAGGGATGGAGGAAGGGGAAAGAAAGGATTGAGGAATTGAATGAGGAAGGAGGGAATTGAAAGGAGGAAAGAAGGGATTGAGAAGGAGGTTATTATAATGAGAGTGAGGGAGAGTCTCAGGGAAGTCCTGCCTTAGCACTTGGCCACCAGAGGTGCCCACCTGACACAAAACCCATGTCACGCCCACCATGGCCACGCCCCTGGCCACACCCCACGCCTCCCTCCAGCCCTCCGAGGTCAAACACAACTCTGATGCAGCCCGCCATGAAATCGAGTTTGACACCCCTGCTCCAAAGCCACTTAAGGCACTTTCCTGTCCCTCTTTACGTCCCATCGCCCCCCCCCCACCCGTTTTGTTTTATTTTTTTCCCCAAGGGTCACTCACCAATGATGATGATCAAGATAATGGCGCATATCACCCCCAGAATTATCATCATCTGTCACGGGAAGGAAGGAAAGAAAGCGTGTGAAATCAGTGGTGCTATTCAGACGGTTCTATCCGGTTCGGGCGAAACGGTTGAGGCGGCTGCGGGAGTCTCCGTCCACCCGCCCCGTTTTTGACGCTCTGTGCATGCACATTCCCATTTGCGAACCGGTAGCGAAGGTAAGTGAGTACAACACCTTTGTGTGAATGGTCTAAATCGGCCTTTCTCCAACAGGGCAACTTCCGGATTGCCCCGTCTGACCCCGCGGGAGAGCCGTTTCCCGTCTAAAGCAAAACCTTTCCAGATCCTCTGCGATCTAGCTCCTTTTGGATCCGAAATGAGTGTTTCTTCAACTCCCAGAATTCCCCAGCCAGCAAGGATTTGCCGGAATTCGGCATGGACAAGACAAGAACAAACATCACATTCTTTTGACTGGGTAACTTTCTTAATAGACGGTGGGAATGCAGTAGACGTAATATATCTTTGACTTCGGCAAAAATGGAGAGAAAAGAAAAATAATCCACAAGAAGATTAAATTAATAAATGTGTTATTAAACGTCTTTAATTGAAGAGGAAACTGATAGGCTGGCTGGGGAATTCTGGGAGTTGAAGTCCACCCATCTTCAAGTTGCTCCGATGGAGAACTACTGCTATGGAATCTGGAAGGCTGACGTTCCGTACATCCAGAAGACTACAAGGACCCTGTGGCTGGGCCTGCTTTCAAGTGAGGTCCTCATCAAGCTCGCCCCCTCTCGCTCGCCCCCCTCCAAACCTGATTCCATGCAGATGATCACCAGAAGGCCAAGATCATGCAGAGATCACGGAAGGAGGTCAGCATTCCCTCCAAGAGCTAGGGTCCCATCCCCCCTGACTCCCAATATCCTCTCCCCGTTTTTTGAATCCAACCAGATTCTGGGATCTCTTCTCCCAAATCTTCTCTGCACAGATGGCCCGTGCCACATGACCCTTTTTGCCTGTATTTCTCTCCGAATGCCTTTTTTTTTCCTACAGGATTTTAAAAGAACCGAGTGGAGATTTTCTGTCTGATCCACCATCATGAGAAACCTGACAGAACAATTAACCGGTGGAAGAGCTTGCCACCAGAAGCTGTGGGTGCTCCATCACTGGAGGTTTTGAAGAAGAGATTGGACAACCGTTTGTCTGAAATGGTCTCCAACGTCCCTTCTTCCAACTCTTGTTATTCTGTTATTCCCTAGAGAAGAGGTCGGCAACCCGCGGCTCTGGAGCCGCATGTGGCTCTTTCATGCTCTGCTGTGACTCCCTGTTGCCAGTTGGTAAAAGGACGCCGTACTAGGAGAAGACTCTATGGTGGGGGAACCGGACTTCCGGTCAGCAGAGGAAAAAGGACGCCGTGCTGGGAGGAGACTCTATGGTGGGGGAACCGGACTTCCGGTCGGCTCCAGAATTGAACGGGTGGCTTCCGATTAGGACCTTTCACCTGAGTGTTGAAGGTTGCCGACCCCTACTCTAGAGGAATGATGCAAGATGGCATCTCTTTAACCTCGGAGGTCTTCTCCATCTAATGTTGGTTGCGCTTCCTAGGGACGCGCAAAGCGACAAGGTCTCTTGAAGTCAACATCAGGTGGCTCCTTTGGACAAAGGGGAAGGAGGCAACCAAGTTTTTGTGGGCGAGGAGGAGGTCCATCCTTCGTCCTACCTTTAAGTTCTTCCACCAGTATTTGCGCTTAAGCTTGGCGGCGCTGGTTTCGAATTGAGACGCTCCGGCTTGAAGAGCATCGGCACGGTCGTCCAGCTCCGAAAGCTTCTGATCTCTCTCTAGGACCTTATCGACGTTCACTCGCATGATATCCACCACCTGGAGGGGAAGAGGCACCGGGAAAGAGAAGGTCAGACGCAGGAGAAGGCAGCGAGAACCACCAAGTTCTGGAAGTCGATAGAAGGGCAGAGTTTTATCACTCAGAAGGAAATGTCTGCAAGGAAACCACCAAGCTCAGAGGGCACCCAGGACCCCACAGAAGATTTGACACGCGATGGTCACCCAGAAACCAAAGGATTCTTAGAAAGACTTAACTTGGGTGAAAGTCAACCTCCTCATACCTCACCTTCAGCCAGCTAAGCAAAGAATTAAGGAAAGTACAACTAACTAAAAGCCCGGAGGAAGGTTAGATGTCCCATAGCCCTCACGGAGCCCCCACAAAACCCCTATGACCCCCCAAAAAACCCACCCATCTCAGGAGATTGAACTCAAGGTCATTTTTGAACCCACAGTTTTCCTTGCAAAAGGAGGAATAAGCCTTTATTTCACAACAATACAAACCAATACAGAAGAACTCTACTTGACATGGCTGCCTTCATAAGTCCTTCCTCCCCTGTCTCTGGTGAGTGTTTAGAGACCGAAGCTACATTGATTGATTGATTGATTGATTGATTGATTGATTGATTGATTGAATTCAATTCAATTCAATTGATTTATTTGGTGGTGGTTCCCAGAGACCTTTAAACTCAAAACCCAGGCTTCCGTTTATTTAGTTTATTTGGTGGTCGCGTCCGAGAATATTCCAATTTTGCCTGACTGGCAGAAGGTACTATTTTCATGAGACAATATGAGGGGGGGGAAATAGGGTTACCTATCAGATGGAGGAGTTTATTATATTACTGTTGTTTAATTTGGGGGTCTTTTTGTGTACAATCTAACTCAGGGGTGTCAACTTCAAAGGTTAGATCAGCACTGTAGTTCTCCGCGGGCCGGGGGGGGACACAGGATGGACTCCTGTTGAAGCACTTTGTCGGCCAATACGGGGTGCGAGGAGGCGCATGCGGCCCCCCTGCACCCCGTTTTGCCCAGCAGACACCCCGCGGGCCAGTCCTTTACTATTTCCAGGCCGGCCCGCGGGCCAAATTTAGGCACCCTGCAGCCAGATCCGGCCCGCGGGCCTTGAGTCTGACACCCCTGATCTAACTGAAATTAAATCAGATTCAATTTCAGTCTCGGTTGTTATTTTATAGCTTCGGAAGTATGTTTGAGCCCATCCCTCAGGACTACCGAGGGCCAGGAAGGACCCTCATCCCGATTTAAACCGAAATTCCTTCTGCCGACGATTGCAACACAGGTAAGTCCTCGGCTTGCGACCCTTCATTTAGTGACCGCTCCAAGTTACAACGGCATCGAAAAAAAAGTCACTCGGGACCCGTTTTTTCACAGTTATCCTGTTTCCCCGAAAATAAGACCCAACCGGAAAATAGTTCCTTAGCATGATGCTCGTAATTTAAGCCTTGTCCCCAAAATAAGCCCTAGTTAAGATTGTCGGCCAGATGGATGCATTTAGTACCGTATTTCCCTCCCAAAATAAGACCTAACCAGAAAATAAGCCTTTATGCGTCTTTTGGAGCAAAAATTAATATAAGACCCGGTCTTATTTTCGGGAAACACGGGTATGACCTTTGCAGCATCTCCATGATCAAGAAGCATATGTCAGACTTCGATGATATCTCAAAATAAATGAATTGCCAAACTGCCAATCTTTAAGGAAATCTTTCCTTTAATTGAGCACAGCCACCGGATCATGACTCGATGCGGACAAGACTGATCTTTTGCCCCCCAATCCCTCCCTTTCCGATCCCCAAATCCCTGCTTCTCATTGGCTATCTTCCAAGTCATTCTTCAGACTTCTTGTCTCGTCATTTCCCAGGAATGTTCCCCCCTCTTCATTTCCACGACAACCCCGACTTCAAAGGGATTTAGCAGGCAAAAGTTCAGAGCTTATCTCTCTCTATGCCAGCATTGAAGTGCTGACATCATATACATTTCATATATAAACATTAAGTTTATTACTGATGGGGGGGGGCTTGGTGCCCTCTCTGTACCCCTGGCAAAGAGGGGCATAAAATGACCCCTCCACCACCCTCAAGCTCTCAAGCTCTGGAGCAGTGTTCCTCCCCACCCCCAGCATGGACTACAACTCCCAGAATTCCCTACTCCTCACCTCATCCACTTGAGCCTGGGTTTGCTGGAGCCTCCGGTTACTGGTGAGGTTGGGCGGGGGAGCGGGGGGACCCCCGGCCTCTCCTCCGGCAGCCGCGGGTGGGACAGCAGCATTAGCCGACCTGAAAGAAGAAAAGGAGAGTGTGATTTTGTGTTTTAAACACGGCAGCTTAAAAACAAAGGGGGAGGGGGTATGGATTTGAAAGACCCCCTCCCCTACCGGCACGGTGCAAAGAAACCCACCTGAACCTGAACTGACTCACCTGTGTGTTTCTCAGCATCGACAACGTGTCAGGGCCCGAAAGGCTGATTTGGGACCCGTTCATCCCAACCCGTTTCCCGCTAACCCAACCTCCAAAAAAAATTCATCGGCAGGAAGTACCTAGCCACGTCTTGTTGTTAAGTTCCCAGAATCCCTCACAACCAGCCAGCTAGCCACTGCAGAGGATTCTGGGAGGTGAAGGCCACAGGGCTAGGAAATCGACACGGTTGGGAACGGGATCAGGCCCGGTTGCTTCAAAGGCCCAATCGGATCCCTAACCTGGCGCTAGATGGGTGGACTTCCAACTCCCAGAATTCCCCAGACATTATGCTTTAATTTTTTTTAAAAAAAATTTTGATTGAACATTTTTTTAAAAAACAAAAACAGATATTTACATCTTTTCAACATCTTTGCATCAGTAATCTATTTTTATACTAGGGTGGATAAAAATCAATGATTTTTTTTTAAAAAAAATCAAAAAAATCAGATTTTTTTGATTTAAATCAGATTTTTTTTCGATTTAAATCGGATTTTTTTTTAATTTTTATCAAATTCATTTTAATAAAATGGTTTCGGAGTAAAAAATCTATCTAAAGATAGTTTCTATTTAAGATACATTAATAATTTAGTTTATTCAGCATGAAATGTAGCATGAGGCTGTATATTCTACAATATTGGGACTCTCGGTGAGTCAACAGCAGGTCACAGGAGGAGCCGCTGAGGGACAGAGATGGCAGTTGCTCTTTAAAAATTATGATTTAAATCGAGTTGATTTAAATCAAGCCTTTTTACTAGTGATTTAAATCATGATTTAAATCGTAATTTAAATCAACTTGATTTAAATCAAATCCACCCTGATTTATACAGTCTCTTATCTTAATCTATCTTTTATACATATATTTCTAGTATATCATATATGTTGTGACCCCGACTCCCGAGCCTGTCCTAACAGAGGAAGAGGACTCCGAAGGTGATGGGGAGGAACTGACAAGGCCTCCCTCTCCAGGACCCTCCTGTCAGGCAATGCCTCAGGTTCCATCCGAAGGCCAGGAGGAACAGCCTGGGATGTGCCAGGAGGAAGGCATATCGGAGCACCAATTGATAGGGAGCGAGGATGATGAATCCTGGCTTGATCCCAGGCAGCGTCGGAGGGAGAAGCAACGGAAGAGGTGTGGGAGGGCCAGAGATTGAGCTGAGTCACGGAGCCACGCCCCACCAGGAATAAAAGTGGGTGGGATTGCTCTTCAGGCTTTGTGACGGATAAAGTTAAACCCTGAAAGTCACATCGTGATCTCTGAAATTCGGCTTGGATATATTTTGGACTGAACATTGACTAAACTCTTGTCTCATGGATAATTTGTTGCTCCTGGAACGGACTGAAGATAAGTCCTCTTCTGCTTTATGGGAGTGAAACCGGTCTTGGCAGGCATTCAGCAGTTTGCTGCCAAAACCTTGGTCTGCCAAGAATTCTAATCTGTTTACCTAATAAAATATTGGCAGACATGCTTGGTATTACGTTTGCCTGTGTGAGGAAGGGGGACAGAACAATATATATATATATTTTCTCTTAATCTAAATATTTTATTTACAGTTAACATAAACAGGTATCTAGTTTCCTTTCCACAATTTATATCTTCCCATTTGTTTCCATATTTCTCCACCTAATTAAACTATCGTTTAGTTTTCTTTTGTCCCTCCCCCTTTCTTTTCCCCTTCTCCTCCAACCATTTATACCATTTCTCCCAGACTAAGTAGTATTCTGTTTCATCTTTTACTTGTATCTCCTTTGTGAGCTTATCCATTTCCGCACACTCTGTAATTTTTCTAATCACCTTGTCTTCTGATGGTATGTCATTGTTTTTCCAGTTTTGGGCGAAAACTATTCGTGCTGCAGTCATTATATGAATAATTAAGTATTTTATTTCTTTTTCATAGGGTCCAGTAATTATTCCCAGTAAGAAAGTTTTTGGCCTCATTTCTATTTGTTGATTTATAATGTCTTCTATTTGTATTTTTAATTGTTTGCCAAAATTGTTTTGCCTTCTGGCAAGACCACCACATGTGATAATAAGTTCCTTTTTGATGTTTACATTTCCAACAAAGCGGGGAAGTATTTGGAAACATCTTTGCCAATCTGGCAGGTGGGAGATGCCACCTATAAAACATTTTATACATATTGTCTTTAGAGGGTACAGACATTGTTAGTTTGTAATTTACATTCCAAAATTTCTCCCATTTATCTAATTCAATATTGTACCCAAAATTTTTCACCTAAATTATCATATTTTCTTTAATTACCAATTTGAATCTTAATAAATAATTATAGGGTTTTTAAATCAATTTATCCTCTGTTCCCTGAAGAATTTTATTTAATTCGTATGTTCCCTTTTGAAATCCAAATTGTGCCAAAATATCTAAATTTTATTTGCATACAGGGCCACCAATCGATGTCTGTACCTAATTCTTTCAATTTCTGTCTTGTTCTTAATTCCCCTCGATTATTCTGCAAATCTTTGTTAAGTTTTCATTTTGTCAATATCTAGAGCAGTGATGGCTAACCTTTTGGCCGTCGTGTGCCAAAAGCGGGGGGAATGCAGGGCGTCACTTACACACGTGTCCACACCCATAATTCAATGCGCCCCTACCCCCTCACGCGTGCACGTGCAACCCCCCCCCCACACACTTTTTTGGAGCCTGGGGAGGGCGAAAACGGCCTTTCCCACCCTCCAGAGGCCAGAAACGGCCCGTTTCCCGACTTCCGGTCCCACCTAGAAAGGCCCTGGAGCCTGGGGAGAGCGAAAAATGGGCCTTCCAGTCCCACCGGAAGTCAGCAAATGGGCTACTTCTGGCCTCCGGGGGGGTGGGGAAGGCCGTTTTCGTCCTCCCTGGGATCCTGTTGTGGCCCCGCCCTCTGAGCCTGTCCCATCGGAGGAAGAAAGCTCCGAGCATGAGGAAGAGGAGTCAGCCAGGCCTCCCTCTCCAGGCCCCTCCCCTCTGGCATTGTCTCAAGTGCCGGTCGAGGGAGAGGAGACAGCTGATTCCAGTCAAAGTGATAATGAGACATCATTCCTGGACGCACGCCTCCGAAGGCGTGATAAACATTTGCAGCAGTTTAGGAGGCGTGCTAGGGATTAGCACTGAGTCACTGGACCACACCCCAGAGACCACACCCCAGAGACTATATAATAGAGAGTGGTGGTCAAGGAGCTTTTGTGACGAACAAAGCAAAACCTTGGAGTCACTAAAGCCTCGTCCGGAACTGCTGGGAGGAATATTATTTCTGTTTGGACTTTCTTGAACGTTCGTATTTTATCTGTCTGTTTGTGCAAATAAAGACCCTTGGCAGACGGTGTGTCTATCGCTGCCAAGTCGGAGATAAGAACTGGGTGCGTTCCAAAGTGTTTCCTTAACCCTCGGCTGGCTGTGTGTGTGTGTGTGGGGACGGGGACAGATCATCTTGTTCGTCAACCCATACTCCATCGTTAACCCACGATGGACCAACAGCTGCAGCAGCAGTTGCAGCAGATACTGCAGGCCAATCAGCTTCTGCAACAGCAAGTAGCACAGCTAACTGCCCAACTTGCTTTGGGAAATGCTCCTGCAGCTCCACCTCCTCCCCCTCCCCGTCCGAGATGCCCAGTGAACGTGCCAGATAGGTTTTCTGGGCAGCAGGAGATGTTTCCGGCCTTCTTGGGACAATGCCAACTGTTTATGGCGATGAGGCCGGATGATTTTCCGGATGACCGGGCTCGGGTGGCATTTGTTATCAGCTCCCTCTCTGGCACTGCCGCCCGATGGGCCACGCCCCTGTTGTTGCAAGATAGCCCCTTGCTCCTGGACTTTCAGGGCTTTTTACAACACCTGCGCACCATGTTTGAGGACCCCCTCCGGGTGCAGACGGCAGCGAGGCGCATCAAGGACCTCCGCCAAGGCAAGCGCCCCCTGCAGGACTATATTGCAGAGTTCCGACTGCTAGGCCAGGATTCGGCTTGGAATGAGGTGGCGCTGATGGACGCTTTCCAGGACGGCCTTTCCGACGAGATGCAGGATGAGCTGGTTCGTGTGGAGGTGCCACCGACCCTCGACGCGCTGGTGACCCAATGCCTGCGCATCGACGCCCGCCTGCAACGGCGACAGCCCCGTCGGGCTCTTCCGGAAGCACCGACAGCGTCGGCACCCCCGCGTTTCGCACCGACAGCGCTCCGGACCGCACAGCGTTTTGTGGCGACGGCTGAGGAGCCCATGGAGCTCGGAGCAGCCAGACCTCAACTGACGGCCCAGGAGCGGATGCGGAGACGTCAAGGGGGGTTGTGCCTCTATTGCGGCGAGGCGGGACATTTTGCCGCGTGTCCCCGGAAGCGGAGTGGACCGCTCAAGCCTGTTCCGGAGTCTCGACGCGACCAGCCGGGAAACGGGCCAGGCCTGGCCTAGGGGAAACTCTGGGTCAGGCACGTGACCATGCCCCGCCGGAGTCGGCGGCTGTGGACTGTGAGCCCCCTCGGCACCTGATTTTGAACACCCGGGTGTTGTTGGCTAACCGGTCGGAGGGGCTCCAGGCGCACGCGCTGGTGGACTCGGGGGCCACCACGAACTTTATGGACCAGGCCTTTGTGGCCCATTACAAAGTCCCCTTGGTTCCAGTGGACCCTCCGTTGAGGGTCGAAACTATAGATGGGCGGGAACTCGTGGCGGGACCCATCAAAACCGCTACCCAGCCCTTGCGCCTCGCCATTGGAAACCACGAGGAGGCGATCCAGTTTAATTTGGATAGGTGGCAACTCCCAGAATCTCCCAGCCAGCATATTTTAAGACAAATGGACTTCAACATATTTAAGCGACTTAAATATGGTTTAATTAATT